AAATATTGCTATAACAGCGAAATGTTAGTCACAGCTTTTCTATTTGGACAGAGTTCTTGAATATTCAGAATGCATATTTTCTCGTTGAAAATTGTTACCACTGGCTTCCCAAATTAAGTTCGACCCAAGTATGCTGTCTGAACCAGCCATCACTCCAAAGTCGCTCTAAAGTCGAACTTAATCAAGTTTGGTTCGGCAAATAAGTGGAGCGGTGTTTGGACTGGGCCTAATACTGATTGGCAGTTTCTTGAAGCAACATGCAAATTCAAATTTACTTGTGAATGAAACCGTTTTTTGGTAAGTTTTTCTGAATGTGAAACTTATACAAAAACACATAGAAATTATAAAATTTCCAGTTTTATACATAAGCTCTCAATTTGGAATCCACAGGGTTAAAAATTATGTCCGTCTGGATTTTGTGAATTCTTACATAATTTTTTCCTTCCATATTTTTATCAGAGAAGAGTTTGATTTTACTTCCTTACTTACAATGCAATGTGTGGTCTTATGTGCCTTTGCAACACAGTATAACTCATATCTATATCCTAGAAAAGACAACACATTGTGTTATTGACATCAAGAGCAGCCTGATTTCTGCAAGAAGAATACTTATTATTTTGTTGGGAAACTGGCACCTCCATGTGAGAGGGTTCAGACCCACATACATTGTATATGGATGTTCATTAAGGAACAAAGTGATCCTTAAATAATATAAGAACAGACTAATCAAACTATACACACTTTCAATCACCTTTTATATAGTTCAGAGAGTCTAGAATAACTATGTCATCTCTTGAAATAAGCCTAAAAAAAAAAAAACGATATCATTGCTAAGCATTATGCGTGAGGCCATGAAAGCCAATAAATGGAATCAAACAGAAAGGACAAATTTAAAAGTCAAAATTAGGAAGTTACCATAGTATTTTCTGTTTAGTTTGTCACTTTTACAAGGAAACAGTATACAAAAATGTTAAAATGTAGCATCAAAGAGGTCACTGACTTGCCAGTGGGCAAGTCAATTACAGGCCAATAGCTACCTTTCCACAGCAGATTTCAACAGACCTCTTGCCTCCTTCTCATTTGAGGAAGCTGAAATAAAACAGCACCTTTAATTAATAACAATTTTAAAATATTAGCACAATTTGGAGACGGTTATAATTATTTCTGACTTGTTCCTGGTGCTTTGATTTATCAGAGGACAACCATAGAGGCGATGTTCTTATTATATCAAATAATTTTTACTATCTGTATCAGGTATGAGAGTTAAGCAGGGTAGTAGAGAAGTTGTTCA